TTCTATTGTCCTGTCTTAGCTTCTCTACTTTGCACACTCAGACATCCCCAAGCTGACCTTGAGTATTTGCAGGCATCTGCTGTCACCCTGATTCCTTGGTCAGTGAGCACAAAGCCCTGAGCCACTCTGGGCTGTTCATGTTTGTGAGGCCAGCTGTAACCTGGTCATTTGCTCTACACAGGATACTCTGTCACTGGAGTGGGGCTGATTTGTGACAGAGGAGGGACCAGTGAGTCTCTTTGCTGTGTTCCAGTTATTTGTCACCTGTTTTCTTTTGTAGATTTGGCAATGTGCCCTTCACCAAGAACCCTGAGAAATACATCAAATACCAGGTTGACCAGGTGGGGGAGATGATTGAGAAGCTGTTTGACACATCAGCATAAATTTCCAGCTGTTGTGAATTCTCCAGCTGCCAAGTACAAGCCAGTGCTCTCTCAGCAACCCTGGGGACTCCCTTCCTTTCTCCCCTGCCCCATTGTGGTGGGTAGGGTGTTATACTTGTATTTATCAGATTTATAAACCTGTGGAAACACTAACTCCTGGCTGTCTTTGCTCTGGGTCCATGGGATAAGGCAAAGTCTGCCCTGTGGGCTCCTATGTTGGCACATCTGCCTCACCTGGGTTTGTATTAATGCCTTGATGTGCAGCAGACATGGGGAGGCTGTTTAAAAACAAAAAGAAAAATACACGTCCGAAAAATATGAGTATAGCCATTTTGGTAAGGGCAGGAGGCTGTGAGCTCCAAATGGTGCCACCTGCTTCCCTGATGGGTTTTGGGAATCTCAGTTCTGTAGCATCCCAAATTATTTTCACATTGTTAATCTCAACAGTTACTTAGTTCAGTGATGGGGCTTGATGCTGCTGCTTCTGGGGTTTGGGGGTGCCTGGCAGGGCTGCAGTCCAGTCATGTACAGGGATGTTCTACCCCAAAAGCAGACCTATATCAGTGCTCTGTTCCACGTGAGGCCGTGGCAGTGGGGTGATGGCAGGGCCTGGAGCTGTGACAGAGCAGTGAAAGCAGAGGGAGCTCCATTGTGGCCTGGCTGGGTGCTGCTCCTTATTCACCTGAGGCAGAGCAAGTGTTCCCATAGTAATTTCCACTCAGCACCGTCCTCTCATCCCTGTTTTTCTTTCTCCTGTCTTCTTAAATCTGATGCATCTCTTCTCTGCAAGCAGCCAAACCCATTCCCTTTGTTTAACCCATGGGTATGACATGAAGAGCAAGTGCTGCTCTCCCACGTGCCTTGGAGCATTCCTGGCAGGCTTTGCTAGGGGAGCTGGACTCTGACACTTTGCACCAAGGATTTTCAGAGTGCTGGGGCACCTGTGTTGTACCTGTGATCTCTGGCCAGGCACTTCCTGCTCCCCTCTCCCTCTCTCCTGCTGCCTGCTCCATTGTTTGCCTGTCACAATTGAAACACAGGGTTTCCATAGAGCAAGGAGCACTCACAATAGCTGCTGTTTTGCAGTCTGGAGCAAATGCATTATTCACCTGAGCAGTGTTTGCTGGTGTCTGATTAGCCCAGCAGTGGAAGAGCTGTTGGATGTTAGAGCTTGGATGAGAGCACAGGTCGTGCTCAGACCCAGCTGCCTGCCTGGGCTGTGCCTCCTCAGACAGATGTTATTCAGGCAGCTCCTGCCCTTTCTGAACCTCTGGCCTTCTCTTCCTCAGCCTGGTGTAGCAAATGCCTGAAAACAGCACTTTTGCCACGCTCATCCAGCCCAGAGCTGGACCACAGTGTGAATTCAAGTCTTAACCACTGCATCTGACTGTTTTTATGTGTCTGACCATGCAGGCTCACAGTGCCAACACAAGAGCCCTCCCTGCAGAAACCTTCTTCCTGCTGTCAAATCTCAAATGTCTGTGGAGATCTGAGATCTTGTACTTGCTGTTTTTAACCTCTGCCAGATCCAAGAGCCTCTGGAGGCTGGCAGGCGCCTGGCAGTGTTTTTATACATAAGCAAAGCTCTGCTGACTTGTGTTTTATGCAGTGTTGAGTCTGCTGGATACACACCCTGACATTCACCAGGAGCTGGATTCCATCTTTAAGGGTCTGATTTTGACACTGCAGCAGTCTGATAATAATTTCTTTCTTGAGGAGAGTGTGTGGAATTCATGCTGAGCTGTAAAACATGTTTTATTGCAGCTGATCCCAGGGCGAGGCAATTCACCCAGAACGGTCACAGGGAAAGCCAGGAGAGGGGAGGGGCAGCTTTGCCTGCAGCTTTACTGGAGCACCTGAGCTTTAGTCTGCAGGAGCAGAAATCCTTCCTGAGCTGATGCTTTTGTGCCAACCTGTGCCTAAAGAAAATGCATGAGATCATTCAGGGGTCTGGGATAGGGCCACATCCTGTTCTCCAGAGGCTCTGGGAATGCCTCTGCATGGCCCCCACCACAAGAGACCTTTCTGGGCTTTGCTGTCAGCCTGTTGCCCCAGGAAAGCGGTACCAGAGCAGGGCTGGGGGGCAGATGCAGCCAGAGATGGGATGTAAAATATCCCGCTCCCTCCTTTACCAGCACCCGGAGCTGACTGCATTGTTTCTATCCCAGGGATGCCCTGGCTGCATATGGGGGTAGGAGGCTGCTGGGGGCTGAGAGCTGGGCTTGGGGATATCTGTGCAGTGAGGAGAAGCTGGAGGTGGTGATTCTTGGGTGAACAGGTAACTTGAACTGCTCCCAGGTGGGAATCAAGACCCTCATTTCCCTGAGTTAAAGGGAAACCTGAGCCACCTTGTCCCTGTTCCCTAAATCCAACCTCCCTCTCACTTGGCTGTAAGCATTGCCTCACCGTGCCTCTCTCTGCACAGGGGGAATGTGGGGAGTCAGACCTGCTTTGGGAGCAGCAGCACGTTGTTTCCTGAGCCACCCCTTGCTCAGGGTGGGAGCGGGGGAGCCTCCAGGCTGAGCTCGTGTCCAACACTGTGCAGCGCCAGGGGAGGGCTCCATGTGCTCCCTGGCTTTTTATGGTAAGGAATGTGTTTGCAAGATGTTAATTAACAGCAACCATGGTGGCCAGCACAGCCTGACCCTCTCACAGCTGAGCCCTTCATGCTGAGAGCTGAGAGTGCAGCCTGGAGTCATGCTGAGACTGTGGCAAGGGGCCACAAATGGGGCTGAACCCCCTCTGCCTCCCCTTTTGCTTCCCCCGAGGCTCCTGTGGGGTCTGACACCCTTCCCTCACCTGCTGTTCTGCCCTGACACAGGGAATGTGTCTCTAATATTCAAGGTTTTGGGGCCAGAGCCCCATTTCTCCCTTGTTTATTTTTTACCTGCCCAGCACCCATGCTGGGGGCTGTGCCAGGGTCTGGGGGTGCTATCTGCTGCCTCCTCAGACTGGGGAGCAAATTTGGCAGAGTAAGTATTTGAAAACAAATCCACAAACCAAAATTAATTCTCTGACCCTAGTGATAAATCTCTGTGGAAAGCTCACTGGAAAACTCACACTAAGTGAGGTTTCAGCCAAGTGTCCCTCATCTCCCTGCCCACTTGGGCTTGATGGGAGCTCAGTTTAGCCTATTCATTTTTCACTTCCAGTTAAATACGCTTTTATTAAATTTTAACTGGAACATAAGGACTCGCAGTGCTCTTAATTTAAGATAAAACCTCCCAAGGGAATAGACCACAGCCCATTTCTCTCAGCTGGGAGCATGGTGAGTGTCAGCAGATCCTGATGCTCTTGTCTTTTCCATCTGGACCTGATATGCTCTGTTATTTGAGGGGGGAAGTAGCTTCTAATTATGGTTTGTGTTGGCAGCACAACCTTGTGTTTGCCCTTGGAGGGCTCATCAGGGCACGGGCTGGGTGTGAGGGTGATGGTTTCCTCCTCAGAAGAGCAGGAAAAATGTCAGATAAGCTGGAGGGGGCTTTTTTTCCTAATTCTGAATTTGTTGTAAACACTGTAATGAGATGGCCCAGGCTTCACTCTTCCAGCCTGCAGCCAAGTGAGACTCAACTGATGGGTGAAGATCCATAAAATGAGGAGGGGTGTTGGATGTGTCACAACACAGAGCCCTGACTTTGCTGTCTGACCATCACCAAGCCCCTGGGGATATTGCACCCTGTGCCCTTGTGATGGTGAGCCAACATCTCCATGCCCAAGGTGAGTGGATTGAAGCCCTCAGTGTGTGTGGGATCCATTGGAGGCAGATCCTGTGGCTCTCAGAGCAGAGGCAGATGAGGGCATGAGGAAAGTAGAGCTTTTAGCTGAGTTTGTGCAGCTGCTTCAATGTTTTCCCTGCCGGTGAAGGTTTGAACAGGGAGATAAATGCAGATGTAATTAATGGAGCTGCTTATATGCTGCTCTCTGTGACTTATGCTGGGAACAGGACTAGACTAAATATCACCATCACTGATAGGAGGAGGTGGCCAATTTATGGCCCTCTCTGTGGGGAGAGGAAGATCTGGTTATAATAACACTCAGCAGGGAAAAAGAAATGTTTTACAGTCAAAAGCTGCTCAAGAAAAAAAGGCCAAGCACTGGGGCTGGGTGAGGAGGGCTGGGGAGAGCCAGGGTCCTGTACAGAAACACCCACCCCAGTCCTGGGGAGCTCTGCCATGGGGGTTCCCAACAGTGAAATCTGTGCAGGCAGACTTAGATCCTCTGTAATGGCAATTTATAGAGACATGACTTTGATGGGGGCAGTTGGGGTGCACAGCTGGGAATTGCAGGGGTGCACAGCACTGCTAAGCCCAGCTCCCCTGCCCTTTGGCCACCACCAAAAGGAAGGATTTCACTTCCAGCCCTCGGCTGGTGGCAGTCACAGGGCTCAGGCACCCGTGGAGCCTTTGCAGGGTTAATTGGTGGCAGTGTGAATCACAGCAGCCTCTTGTGGGCAGCTGCATTCAGCGGGTGCAGTGACATTCCTGTCCCCCTCCAGGGATGTGCTCACCCATATCCTCCATCCCCCTCAGCTTCCCTGCATCCAGCAGGACCCACCACCCCCCAGCCTCGCCTCTGCTGAAGCTGTGGGGCCTCCCAAAGGAGCTGGACACGGCAGGTGGGATGGAGGGGCTTTATTGAGGCTTCCCTGGCTTGCTGGGCACCCCCAGCTCTCACACAGCCCTGTCTGGCCCGTTCAGGGGAGCAGTGTCTGTGCCCTGCTTGTCTCCACGAGCACCCTGCCTGCTTGAGATGCTGAGCTGTCCCCAGGCTGTCCAAATGCATTCAAATCCTTTCCCTGCCATGGGTCCATGGCTGTGCTTCCCTGGCAAGTAACCTCCCACCCCTTGGTCCTTGGTGACCTTCTGTGCTTCACTCCTGGACTTTCCTACCTGAGCTGGGTTTGTGCCCAGTGCTGCCCTGGGATGCAGCTCCTAAACCAGGACAGAAACAAACCAAGATTTTCCAGATGTCCCTAAAAGTGCACCCACAAGCTAGAGATGCTGTGCTGGTTGGAGGGGCCAGAGCTTTTCACAGGCTCTGGGTGTAGATGCAACAGGGAGTAAGTCCATCCATGACAGAGGAACAGGTTTGCATTACACATGGCAGTGGATTTTTGGGTTTGATCTCTCTGCTCTCAGCAGGTGTTTGGTGGAAGCAAATCCTGTTCTTGGTTAGTTCTTGGCTGAGTTTGTATCAGCAGCATCACGGTCGTGATATCTGGATGCATTTGAACGAAAAGGTTTCAACTGGACACATTTCAACCCAAACCAGAGCCCAGCCCCAGGCCTGCAATGCCGTGGGGTGGGAGGGAGCTCTGCTAGCTGCCGGTGAAGGTGACAGAGGAGCCATCTGCTCCCTGCTGCTGCCCCTCCGGGCCCCTGCAGCGTGCGGCCGAGCGGCCGGGCAGGGCTGCGCTCAGCTGGGTCACCTCGCTGAGCTCTGCCTCCAGCGTGCTGACCGTGTTGGCAGCCTGGGCCTGCACCCTGTGCGCTGCCTGCTGGTGCAGGAGGCAGCTGAAGATCTTCTTGAAGCCCTTGCGGAAGTGTTTGGAGACCAGGGCGTAGACGATGGGGTTCACGCAGGAGTTGGCGTAGGAGATGACGTGCGAGAGGATGCGCAGCACGTACGTGGAGTGGTTGAGGGGGAAGTACCCGAACCACACGCAGAGAATGACCAGGTGATGGGGCAGCCAGCACAGGCAGAAGAGGACGGCGACGATGATGATCATCCTGGTGACCTTCCTCTTGGCCTTCTTGGACTCCGACATGTCTTGGAGAGGGTCCACGGACCGCCACAGGTAGCGAATAGTCCGCACGTAAGTGAGGCTCAGGATGAGCACGGGGATGATGTAGCTGAAGATGAAGGTGCAGATATCCATGATCTTGCGCTGGGAGATCTCCCAGATGGGGTGGCAGACAGTCAGGTTGGCCAGCTGGAACTCCTGGTAGTAGCTGAGGTAAGGGCCCGAGAAGATGAAGGAGAGCCCCCAGATGAGACAAATGGCCAGGAGGGCGTTCCTGGGTGTCCTCAGCTCCCTGGAGTGCAGGGGGTATCGTATGGCCAAATACCTGCATGGGAGAGGGAGAGGGACATGGCTGCAGTGCTGGGGAGGGCACAGAGAGAGCAACACCAGGAGCAGGTTGGACAGAGGGCAGAAATGATGGATTTGAGCTTTCCAGGGCAGTTAGTCACACAACTGATTCCCTGGTGCTTCTTAGGGACCCTGCAGCACAAAGAATTGAGGAAGATTCTCTCCCTGACCCTGTCCCATCACCCTCTGCTCTTGGCAGTGGTTGTGGGGACAATGGGGATGGTCCCATTCGGTCCCTCCCCTAATCCAACAGACCCTCACTTCACCATCAGTGTCTGGCACAAGTGGCTGGGGCAGTGAGGATACAAAAACAGGAGTAAGTGCCCAGGATCCCCAGACACAGCATTCCTTGTACTGGCACATGTGCGAGCACATCACCCCTTTTCAGGTCTGTAATTAGCTGGTCCTGCAATTACACCCAGATCTGAGGCTTGTGCAAGCTCTCCCTTGCTCAACACATCTGTTCCCTCTGCTCTGTGGGATACAGGGGGAGAGGCAGCCCCTGGATGTGTTTTAACTCCTGGGGGTGCTCTCAGCAGCCAGTGCAGGGCTCTGCTGGGATGGCAGGACACATCCAGCGGGGCTCCAGGGGCTCCCAGGGGCCTGGCACATGGACTTTCCACATCCCACCTCGCAGGGTTTGGGCACTGAGTGGAGCAGCACCAGGAGCTCCCAGCCTCTCTCTTGCTGCAGGGTCACAACTCACCAGCCCTTGTGGAAGAAGGGACTGAGGTAAAGCACAGGCAGGAGCGCCAGGGTTGCCAGCAAAACCCAGCCTGGAACGAGCTGGGATAACTTCTGGGACAAGGGACAGCACCAGGACAGAAAGGGGCTTTTTGCTAATAGAAGGGGAGGGTGGGAGAATCAGTGTCCCAGCTCAAACATCCCAGTTTTTTCTCCTCAAGGTCTGCCTGCTTTGCCAGGGGCTGTTGGGAGGGTTGGGGCTCTCTTCATGCATCCCAGCAAGAGCCAGAACTGCACAGAGACTGAGCTTTGCTTCTTTCTCATTTTTCATCCCCACATCACTGCCAGGGCCTGTGGATAAATCCCAGTCCTACAGCTCTGGGGTCTGAAAACTTCCTCCAGCTGGGCACTGGGGCCAGGGATCCCCATCCAGCCCTCTGCAGCACCTCACACCGGGTGTTTGCACCTCCTCACATTCATCAACAGGGAAATGCTCCTTGATTCCCCCAGGAGCCCCGGGGAGATCACAGCAGTCAGGATTTAGCTCCAGGGGAGTTTGTCCCCTCCCTGCCCTGGTGGGATCCAGAGAAATGAGATGCAAGCAGCCCCCCACCCCCTCCACCCCGTTCCCTTTCCTACCTGTCGAGGGACACGGTGGCCAGGGTGAAGCTGCTGGCGTACATGGTGAGGTAGATGAAGAAGTGCACGGCCTTGCACATGAAGGGCCCGAACACCCATCCCTCCAGCGTGTAGATGGTGGCTTGGAAGGGGACGCAGAAGAGGATGAAGCAGAGGTCGGCCACCCCCAGGTTGAGGATGAAGAGGTTGGTTGTGTTCTTCACCTGCCCGTTGCGCAGCAGCACCGCCAGGACCAGGCTGTTGCCCACGGTGCCCACGAGGAAGATGATGAGGTACACGAGTGGGATGATCACGGACTCGGGCTGCCAGCCCGCCCCGGAGCCCGCCAGCGAGGCGTTCATGGCCAGGGGCTGGAGGGGACAGCGTGTGTGGAGAAGGCACCGGGGGGACACACAGGGTGAGGGGGGCACAGGGAGATCACTGTGGGGTGCGCCGGGATTGCAGGGGAAAGGGGGGGCACGGGGAGCACAGAAGGGAGGGAAAGGGGAAAGGGGGTGCAGGGAGAGCACGCTGGGGAGCACAGAAAGGACGGAAAGGGGGGCACGGAGAGCAGGCTGGGGAGCACAGAAAGGAGGGAAAGGGGGTGCAGGGAGAGCACGCTGGGGAGCACAGAAGGGAGGGAAAGGGGGTGCACGGAGAGCACGCTGGGGAGCACAGAAGGGAGGGAAAGGGGGGGCACGGAGAGCACGCTGGGGAGCACAGAAGGGAAGGAAAGGGGAAAGGGGGGCACGGAGAGCACGCTGAGGAGCACAGAAAGGAGGGAAAGGGGAAAGGGGGTGCACGGAGAGCACGCTGGGGAGCACAGAAAGGATGCACGGGAAAAGGGGGTGCAAGGAGCCTGCAGCGGGGAGCGCACCAGGGATGCACGGGAAGGGGGAGAACGGTGAAAGGGGAGCACGGAGCCGCACCGGAGCCGCACCGGAGCCGCACGGGAGCGGGGGTGCATGCGGAGCGTGCGGGGGTCCCGCCGGGGCGCACCGGGAGCCGGCGAGGGAGCCGGGTGCCCTTCACCTCCTCCGGGTCTGCAGGAGCCCGCGGGCGCTCGGGGCGGCTCCGGAGGCTCCGGAGGCTCCGGTGGCTCCGGCGGGGCGGCTCCGGCGCTCTCCGTGCGCCGGCGGAGCGGGGGGGCCCGGGGGGCTCCGGGGCGCGGCTCCCGCCCCGGGCAGGGGATGCCGACCCCGCTCCCCTCGGGGGGCTGAGGGGCTCGGGCCGGTTTGCCCCGGGATGGGGGTGAAGTGTCAGCAGTGCTGTTATCCCTGCGGAGGGGCTGGGCACCCCAAAGGGAGCTGGGCACCCCAAGTGAGGCGTCTGCGGGGGTTTTCTTATCGCCTCCCCCTTCACAGCCACTGAAAGAGGGTTTGTTCAACCCCAGGGGCTGCGGGTTTTTAGGAATCGGGGTCCTCTGCCTGCCTCCATTTATCCTCCGCATTATCCGGCGGGCAGCTAAGTCCTCGCACCAAAACAGCCGAGGTGAGCCCGGGTTTTTAGGAGAAAATGAATTTCTCCCCACGGCTGGGAGAGCAGCGCGATACGCTGCAGAGAGAACCAATCTTTTTTGTGCCGCGTCTTCCTGCAAAATTACCTTTTTGGTCCTGCACAGATGGAAGCCTTGGGACCGGCCGGTGCATCAGCCCTCCAAGGACTCTTGTCTAACCCCACCCCAGCCTGCCTTGTTTTGCTTCTGTGGGGAGAGAAATCCTTAATCCATCGATTACTTCTGTACCTAACTCGCTCCACAGCTTCTCCGTTCTCTTCATGGGTGCTCAGAGCTGAGCCCGCCGTGTTGGGGGCTCTGGGGACACTCACAGCCCTGTGACACGGCCACCACAGCGCACACAGATCCCTTTCCACCCTCGGCTGCCCACCAGGACCCCCACCAAACCAGTTCCTGTTTGGAGGTGACCAAACCCCTTTGGGGTCAGTATGCTCCGTGTTCCTGGTGACATCCCATAGGGAAAAGCAGAAAATGAGGAGCAGCAGAGTGGAAAATCGGCCACCCCGCAGGGCTCAAGGAGCTGCTGAGACACAGAACGCAGCTCTGCATTCCTCTCCTGATCCCAGGCTGCCCGCATGTCCCCAGGGAGCCATTCCCGTGCCACATCCCGGGCCACGACCATAGGGATTGCTAGGAAACCCATGGGAAAGCCTGGCCCAGGGAGGTTTCACCCTGTGGGACCTGCCCTGTGTCCTCAGATGCCACAGGGTATTTGGATGATGGTACTGGTGGTGTCTTTGGTCAGCCTGCAGAGAGGCTGGGTCCACCCTTATGCTGCAGAGAGATTATTAAAAAAAAAAAAGAAATGAGGAAAACCACTCAGTTTATTCCCAATAACAGTAAAACTCAAAAAGTAGCAGGATAAAAATAAATAGCAGCAAAATATCTTCTTCTATATATAACCAGATGGGTTATATGGGCAGGTGTGCAGGAGAATGATCCAGATCCCCAAAAGCAAGATCCTCTGGCTAAAATCCATAGGAAAAGGCACACGGTGGGGCTGGCAGAGGGATGTCAGTGCCTTTAGCTCTGTGGATTTACTCTCTGCAGCAGTCCCTGTGACACCAAAGGCAGCTCAGCCTCGCTGCAAGGCTCCCCTCAAGCTCTGCAGGTTTGTGTGACCCTCCTGCCCCGTTCTCCTGCACAGATCCCCCAATGCTTGTCCCGCATCCCTGATCCCAATCCCTATCTCTATCCCGATCCCTGTCCCTGTCCCGGATCCCCAATCCTCCCTAATCCCTGTCCCGGATTCCCGATCCCGATCCCTGTTCCCGATTCCTGTCCCGGATCCCCGATCCCTGTTCCCGATCTCGTTCCAATCCCCGATCCCTGTTCCCGTTCCCTGCTCCCAATCCCGTTCCTGTTCCCATTCCCGAATCCCCGTTCCCCGTCCCGAATCCCCGTTCCCAATCCTGATCCCCGATCCCGTTCCCTGACCCGAACCCCTGTTCCTGTTCCCGTTCCCAGTCCCCGTTCCTGATCCCCGTTCCCGTTCCCTGTCCTGAATCCCCGATCCCGATCCCTGTCCCGAATCCCTGTTCCCATCCCCGTTCCCAATCCCGTTCCAATCCCCGATCCCTGTTCCCATTCCCGTTCCCGCCCCCGTTCCCCGTCCCGAATCCCCGTTCCCGCCTCCGTTCCCGTTCCCTGTCCCGAATCCCCGTTCCCGCCTCCGTTCCCGTTCCCTGTCCCGAATCCCCGTTCCCCGTCCCCAATCCCCGTTCCCAATCCCGAATCCCCGTTCCCAATCCCCGTCCCCATTCCCGATCCTGTTCCCAATCCCTGTTCCCATTCCCGTTCCCGTTCCCGCCCCCGTTCCCCGTCCCGGCTCCCCGTTCCCGTTCCCAATCCGAATCCCGATCCCCGTTCCCGTTCCCGCCCCCGTTCCGTCCCGGCTCCCCGGCCCGTTCCCGGCAGCCCCCGCGCGGCCCGTGCTGCACCGCGGGGCGAGATGGCGGCGGAGCGGCAGGGAGGCGGCGGCGGCCGCGGGGCCGGGCCGGAGGAGAGCAGCAGGGAGCACGGCAAGGACGGCAAGGACAACAAGGAGAACGAGCGGCCGGCGGGGCCGCAGCCCGGCGGCCTCGGCGATAGCCTGGGCCTGGAGAGCATCCTGCGCGGCGGGGGGACGTGGCAGGCCCGGCCCCGTGGGCGGCGGGGGGACGTGGCGGCAGGGCCGGGACGGGGGACAGCCCTCAGTGCGGCCTCGGGCCCCGTGCAGGGACACCCCGAGGTGCGGGCGGTGCTGGACTGAGCGTAGGGAGGGTTTGGTTGGGATAAAACGGCCCGGCTGGCTTTCCTGATTTATGGAATTGCTGCGTCTCCTTCCGAACCGCATCACTGCTGGTGCCAGTCCCCACAGCTGTGCCCTGTGCTTTGGGGTACGAGCAGGGCACCCCTGAGCTGCTCGCGGTGATGCTGCAGCTCGAAGGGAGCAGTAATAGATTAAAAAAAAAACCTTAACAGGTGAGCTGAGGTGGCAGAATGGCTCCTGCAGATTCAGTGTTTCTGAAATCCCGGCGTGTAAAGCTCCTGGAGGTTTTGGAGGTGAAACTTCGCTGTGAAACCAGTGCAGCTGCACAGCTGTGGTAGGGCTGGGTTTTATCTTCTAGGTCTGAAGGAAACCAGGGGGAAACCAGGTTGCAGATTTCCACGTGGCATATGGCAGCTGTTGTGTAGTCAGTAACTGTGGAGTAAGGTGCAGACATAGCAGTTGCCCTGGGAATATTGTGATTGTCTAAATCAATGAAAAAATAAGAAAGTTCAGGGGATATGAATTCAGCAAGTAACTGCAGGATAAAAGAGAGACTGAAAAAAATCTTGGGTAGGCAGCAGGGGTGAGGGGGGCTGTGTTGAGAAACTGCAATTCAACTGGGTTGTTCTGCAAATATAAAATAAATAATTGTAATAACTATTGGTGCAGGTTTTTAATACTTCAGAGACTTTCTTTTAGGTGTAGTCCCAAGAAAACATTTTTACAGACATCTGGCATTTTAAACTTTAAACATTTGGTGGTTTCTTTAGGTGTAGTTTTTCTTTTGTTGGGGTTGTTGTACAGTCTGGTTTTCTGTTGTGGGATTTCTTTAAAAGCTTCTTAAAAGGAAATTTTAGGATATGAATATATATAGCACAGAGATTTCTTGTGTGTGGTGAAGATTTTATTTCACAAAACCTGCCTTGTAGACTGAATGAAAAACATCAGATTTATTAGAATGTGGCATGGTTTTATTTGGTAGGAACAACTGAAGGACTAAAGGAAGTGCAGGAACTCTGCAGGTACACTGGAGGACGCAGAGACTGGATGGAAATGATGGAGTGATGGTGCCCCAGGTCACAGGGCAGTGCTTTGTGTCACAGATACGTGTTGCAGCAAGACTAGAAACGTGCTGAAAATGGAAAAAATCAGCCTTGGTGTTATTTCCAAAAGCTCTTTTTATCAGGTTCTGTGCTCAGAAGGCACTTTGTTTGTGAAAGCTGTGCTGGGGAGGCAGCAGTGGTTCTGTTCAGGGTATTTTTATCCTTTTTCTGAGCGAGGGGACATTCCAGGGCAGGAAAGCTTCTCTACCTCAGTTTTTTCTACAAATCTATGCCACAAGTGTGGCTGGGGCAGTCAGGTGTGTTATCCTGGATGTGTCCTTGTCCCAAAAGGAGCTCTGGTGACAGCAGCACTGCTGTGGATGTCTGGAGGAGGTGCTTGAGCTGACAGGCAGGAGCTCTGGAGGGAGCCGTGCACTCATAGGTGCTTTAGAACCATCAGCTCTCTGCTTTTAGGAGTTTTTGGGGTGCCCCATTGTTCAAAGTGTGTTTGTCTCATGGATCTGTGGGGTTCCCTGCTGTTACTTTGGGGTGGAAGGAGGAGCTGGTGCCAGCTGCACTGGGAGTGTGCCTTAACACGAGCCACAGTCCTGCAGATCGTGAAGGAGTCGCAGCAGCAGCACGGCCTGAGGCACGGGGACTTCCAGAGGTACAGGTGAGTGTGGGGGGCTGCTCCTGTGTTGGAGTCCAGGACACCCCTCTGGCTGCCCTGGCTGGCTCCAGGTGCTTGTAGACCTTGGCACAAAGTCTAAAACACCTGTGGCTTCAATTTTAGCCCTTGGAAAAAGCTGCCAACTCTATATGAGGAATTACAAGCCACAAGGCTTTGAGTAGTGTGGTAGTTGAGTTAACACAGGGTGGAAAAGTGGAATTTTGGGATTTTTAGAATGTAGTTCAGGGTGTCAATATGGAGGGATTTGGGTGTGTCCTGACCTCCTTCTCCTTCTTCTTGCCCTCCATGTCTTGCTGTGATGGTGACACTTTTCTATTGGTTTAATGTAGAGACACACTGTCCAACATAGATGACAGATATTGGCACAATATTGTAAACAGACTATAGGTAACTTGATATAAAATGTAAACCCTGCCTGAGGTGACAGGCAGAATGTCATGGCCTCCTTGCTAGACAGAGCTTGGCAGGTCAGGGAAAGAATGTTATAGATAATGAAAAACAAGCAACCCTGAGAAGCTGACCCTACGCATTTCAGACTCCTCCTTTGGTTGCATGGGCTAGGAAGCAAGGACTTTTACAATCTTGGGGTCATTCCAGCACCACAGACCCTGGGACTTCAGGGGCTTGGCTTCATTTCATTTAAAATGTAATCCCCCTGTAGCAGGCAACAAAACCCATCTGCCAGGTGAAAACCCCTGACAGGCTGTTCCACGTGGGGCCTGTGTGCTGATCTCCCTTGGCTGTACTGTGCTGTGGCTTTGCAGGCTGGCTCTTGCGTCTCCACTGCCCACAGGAGCTTGTGTTCACACCTCCCTGATAGGCACTGAACTCCTCCAGAGCTCAGAGTTCAATAAACACATAAAGCAGTTAGTAGTGAGCACATCACTCTCAATTTTATAATAATGATATGTCATCTTACCTTGTTTTCTATTAATTGCTGCTTTACAGGTAGTTTTTGAGCTACCATATGTCACACATGGATTTTTAATTGCTAAAACATTGCCTGGTACAGCCTTAATTTTTTTTTTTTTTTCTATTTGGATAGAGTAGTAAACAGAAGCAAAGTTGTCCTTTGGCCAAACTCACTGTGCTTGTCTTTTTTTAGGGGTTATTGCTCCCGCAGGCTGAGGCGGCTCCGCAAAACTCTCAACTTCAAGATGGGCAACAGACACAAGTTCACTGGGAAGAAAGTAACTGAAGAGATTCTCTCAGACAACAGGTACAGGGACTGGATGGAATTGAGAATTCAGTATGTTACTGAAGAGTTCCCTTTCAGTAATTTCTGTCGCAGGTGGAAAACTATTTTGTGCAGTATCATGCAAAACATTTCTTTTCAGAGATGTGTGTTGTTGGTATTAATAAAAGTTCAGGCTGTGAGACACTGCTCAGATCCATCTTCAAACAGTGGGACAAGAAGGAGCAGCAACAGCCTGTTCCTTCTCTTCCCTCATAGTTGCTAAAATGGATTATTTTCATAATCAGTAAATTCCTGTGGCACTGAAGAGGAAATGCTTATTCAGGTCTGTTGCGAGGTAGCCATGGGAATGATGGTAATGTAAATGGTGTAGCCAGCAAGGTTATGGTTGGAGATGCTATCCCTTCTGTTTGACAGAAATACTGCACTCCAAGTTTTACTTAAGTCTTCTGAATTTGACAGAATGCTTGTCTGACAGAATATGTGGAGAGTAGCCAGGATTTTGGGTTCACGTCCCATCTTTTAGGAGTACTTGAAATGTTTCCTGTCTTGTCTTTTCTTGTGGGAAAACTACACGTGATACAGTTTTCTACATGAAAACTGCAGTCATTTGTGTTGTTAAGAACATATTGAACTAGTTTTAAGAGTGGCCTAAAATGATAAATCCCTTGTGTTTGTAGTGTCTGTGGTACTACAGAATGGTACCTAATTTTATCCCTCAGTTGCACTTCTGAGTGAGAAACACAGCAGAAACTAGTCAGGAATAACCAGACTTTGTGCTTAGTACTTTAAGCAGTAAAAGCATCTGCCTCTTACTAACCAAGCTGCACTTGTGCTGCTGAGCTTGGCAGACCAAGTGGCAGAGAGCTGGCAGTGATGCAGCTCTTGTCTGAGTGTCATTATTGTCCCGTGGCAGGTATTTGCTGCTGATCCTGATGGATGCAGAGAGGGCCTGGAGCTATGCCATGCAGCTGAAGCAGGAGGCCAACACGGAGCCCCGCAAGCGCTTCCATTTGCTCTCGCGGCTGCGCAAGGCTGTGAAACACGCCGAGGAGCTGGAGAGGCTCTGTGAGAGCAACAGGGTGGATGCCAAGACAAAGCTGGAAGCTCAGGTAACCACTGATACTTTCATCTTGTTGTACACTAAGGGCTGAACAAGAAACCCTGGGAATTTGGAGTGAAGAAATAATTACTGTCTCTCCATAGATAATAAAAGTACAAAGAATTGAGGGTAGCTAAGATGGTGCAACACAGCCTAAGAAACTGCTTATCTACTGAGTTACCTTTTTGTTAAATGTGCTGAAGTAGACACCTAGAATGCAAGATTTGGGGGTTCAGTTGCTGGAAAACAGGAAACTACTGTTGTGACATCTTTGAACAGCAGTGCTGTACTCAGTTAATTAAACTGCCATTGTATAGCATGCTGCTGGGGAAAAACGTGTGACATTAGTGGGCCATTGCATAACAAGCAAGAAATATCTTTAATTTCTGGGCGACCTTGTCTAGTGGAAGGTGTCCCTGTCATGGCAGAGAGGTTGGAACTAGATAATCTTTAAGCTCCTTTCCAATCCATTCTGTGATTCCATTTTATGATTCTGTGGTTCCTTAGAAATGCCGCAGAGGCAGTTAAAGGAGAAGAGGTAGGTAGGTTACAGCTACCTGTAACCTGTCATCCAAATCAGTTGTCTTCTGTGGGAAGTGAAAAGGGCAAAGCTTAGTCACCCACTGCAGGAGTCACAGCAGCTTTCCTGCTAAAGGTGGCACCTTTAGGCTGTTGGTGGTGGGGAAGTGACCTTGTCCTCGCTCTGTGCGCAGGCGTACATGGCTTATCTCACCGGCATGCTTCGCTTCGAGCACCAGGAGTGGAAGGCAGCAATGGAGGCTTTCAACAAATGCAAGTGAGTCCCTCACTTCACCAGCTTCCTTCAGGAAATAGCGTTGGATCACTTTAGTTATGTACATAACTAAACTAACATAACTAACTCTGTGCATTGTTAATTGTGCTTAACTGGGAGGTGCTGCTGAAGAAATAGCATCCTCCAGAGCACAGACACAAAGCGTTCCCTTAGGATAGCACCTCACAAGTGACACACGCTGCAGTGTTAATATTTGTTCTTCGCTCTAGGACCATCTATGAAAAGCTGGCCAATGCTTTCACAGAAGAACAAGCTGTGCTGTATAACCAGCGTGTGGAGGAGATCTCACCCAACATCCGCTACTGTGCCTACAACATTGGTAAGGGAAGGGGGGGCCTCATCTGTGCCCAGGAAGGCAATACTGATTTAGTTTAACCCTGGTCTAAGTGACGTTGAGGCCATAATATTTTGGGCAAATTCTGCTTGTGTTTTGGGACAGTTTAACACTGCAGAAAGGGCCTCATTTTGCAACAGCGCCTGTGGTTATGTGTAGAAAGACAGAATAACTGTTTGTGGTAGCTTGCCTGTGAGGTCAGAATAAAATTGCAAGCTTGTCCCTAAACTGCCAGTGTAAAATCTAATTATTAGTTTCAGTATATGAAAGTGATTTTGAAGTCATATGGAAACATGATCTCAATTTGTTGATTCTCTCAGGTGACCAGTCTGCCATGAATGAGTTGATGCAGATGAGACTGAGGTCTGGTGGCACTGAAGGTCTTCTTGCAGAAAAACTGGAGGTAATTTATTTGCATGCCTCAGCTTGAAATATTCATTATTACTGTGCTGAGCATGAATATTGCTGCAGCAAACCATTCAAGAGCCAGACTGGAACAGAAGTGAGCAAGCAAACCTAGGCTCTGTGGGAAACAACACTTTCCCAAAAAGCCCTTTGATTTCAAAGTAGTCAAGTCTAACATGAATTCAGGAGGTTCACTTTTGCATCTCTGTAAACTCAAGCTCCTAAGCTCAGTGTGTTCTGTGCAGGCTCTGATCACCCAGACTCGGGCAAAGCAGGCAGCCACGATGAGTGAGGTGGAGTGGAGAGGGAGAACTGTCCCAGTGAAGATTGACAAAGTGAGGATCTTCCTGCTGGGGCTGGCTGACAACGAGGCAGCAATTGCTCAGGTAACCCAGCAGCCCTCTCCACCCTGCCATTTTAACCATCTTCTTTCCTTCTGTGCAATACCTGGTACCTGAACTAAAAGCTTTTGAGTAATCTCATTTTCTCAGACTTGGGGCTGGAAGGCTGAAGGTAAAAGTGGAGGAATACTGATTGTAACCCAAAGCTGAGGTGTTGGCTGGGGATAGCTCTCACAGTCTGCTGAGTGGAGTAGTCTGGGAGATCTGTTCTGAGTATTCCTGCTCCTTGGAACATTCTGTGCTGCCTTCCAGCAGCAGGGTGATAACCATTATTATTAGTACATCACTTGGAGATGAAGGCTACATTTTTAAGAGTAACTGGTTTTGAATTACTCTTTTAATTTCTTTAAGCATCTTGCTCAAATGCTCCAACTTCAGAGTAGCCAAAATGAAAATCCATATTGACCATGTTTTCTTCAGCAGCAGATAGCCATCTGCCAGGTGTAGCAGGTGCTTTTTCATTCTCTTATTGACTTATGGAAATCTTCAAAAATAGGAAGTGGATTAATAAATGTCAGGATGTAAAACAATTTCACATGTAATGGTTCTGAAACACTTCATAGAATCATGGAATATCCTGAGTTGGAAAGGACTCACAAGGATCATTGAAATCCAGTTCACTGGAACTTGCAGTGGTACATACAGTTCATGTCTTTAGTATTGTAATCAAGTTTTCCACATGTATTTTTTTCCTTGGAAGTGGTGACCAGAGAGGTATCCTGCTTTTCAGTGGCTGCATACACACTCAGAGTTTGAAAAGGCAGTGAAAGGATCTTCAGTAACAACTCTTGCCACTAAAAATGGGATTTTTGCAGCATTAAAAGCATTTTATCACCAGGAGAATAAGAATGATAAATAAAAATTAATAAAACAAAAACCCTACAGAGGGTTAAGACCAGAGCAGGGGATAGTGGTGAGAGGAGTGTGATTAGGATAAACAGGATGTGGCTGGGTGGGAAACCTGAGTGTTACCCATAATGTTAGGAATTGGATGTTGCTGAATGGATTTGGTTTCAGGAAGCACATAAGTGTGGCCAGCAGGTGGAAGTACAGCTCAGAGTTCTCTCATTTAACTTCATCCTGGCAGCTGACAGTTGGACTTTCTCAGTTTAGTTGCTCTCTAAAGTGGTGCAGAACAGCCTGAATTTGTTCTCATCTTGCTTTGCATTCCTGGGAAGCTCTGACTAAACAGAGGAGTTGAGTGGACTGGTGAGAGCTGAGCATTTCAGCAGCACTGTTTTCATTCCCAGAGGGCTAAAACTTGCTTTTTTTGGCAGCAGTTCTGCAGTTGTGCCAGCTGTGATAGTCAGTCCAGCTTCAGGTGAATGAATTGTGCTTCGTGGGATCTTTGGCACCTTTTTACTCATCTTCACTGAGCTGAAACCCTGACATAACAGCAGTCCCCTGCAGGGTTTAATTAGAAGTAAAACCAGTCTGTTTTGTGTAAAAATGGAGTCTCCCAATGCAATTATACTGTTGCCTTTGGTGCATTATTGGTAATGGGAGGAACAGAACAAATAAGCCAAACTGAAATAGGAATCCAGGTTAAAATTGCTTGTGTCAGTCCTTTTGTAGGTTTGCAGATGTGACTCTGAGGGCCCATTGGCTCTCACCAGGTGGAGGTGACAAGGCTGCAGGGCAGCATGACACAGGTGTGCTCCTAGCTGGTATTGCCTCAAGGATTCTGTGCTCATCTCTAGGTTGCAGCAAAAATGGGTGGTAATAACTGTCAGAGATGTTAGACAGTGGTTTAGACCAAAGAAAGTCTGAGAGCTGAGCATGCCGTGTTTTTGGAATTGGGTTCAGTGGGGTTGGTTTCCATGAACCCCTTTAAGATGAACCTGTGCAGTTGTGTCAGGACAGTTGAATCACCAGCTGTAGCACTTGTGTTTCAGTCCTATGATCTGATATCTCCCAAATCAGAACATGTGTATTTATGCATAGAATCAGCTTAAGGAGTTTTTGCTTGGAAAGGAAAGCCTTTGTTTCATTGCAGGGCCCAGCCCTTGCCCTGTTTATGCCTGAATGATGATCTGGCTGTGTCTGTTTTCATTTTTGTGCTTACAGTGAAATTGCTGTGCTGCTCTGGGTGAGGTTGAGAATGCAGTCAGACTCGTCTCTGGTTATTCTCAGGAGCCAGTCCCACCTTAAAAATTCTCACAGCAAATCTTAAATTAAAAGCAAAAAAATCCCAAACCCAAAAAACCACCTCTATTAGGGTACCTGAAGCTTTGTGAGGGAGTAAAAATAACACTCCTGATTGAGTTTGTGAACGTGGGATGTGGAGAGGCAGAGACTGTAGAGCTGTGCAGTAGATGGAAAAAGTGAGCATGGTTTTAGACATTTTTTTATTCATTTTGCCGATTGCAAATTTATTGCAGCAAAGCTCATCTTGCACTGTTACATGAGATGGGAGTGGCAGAACATGGTGCTGGTGCTCTTGAATTTTCCTTCAATCACTGAGGCTGAGGTTTGCTTCTGAGTAGTTTGTTCTTACTGAATCATTGAAAATCTTGCAATCTCCACCTGATTTACTTCTCAGCATCTGAATAAAGGCTGAGTTTCGGTTTGGGTGCTTGTTTAATTGGGTACACGATATGCCAATAAATTAGGCAGAGATCAGGCTTCAATTTGTTTGTTAAAAGTTGCTTTCAAGTTCTGGTTTTGGGGCAGAAGGCCAAAAGATGCTTCACTTTTTTTTTTAAACAAAACCTATGGTGACAGCAGAAAAGCACTCGGTCACTCCTGCTGCTGAAATATAGGGTTGCTGTGAAAGATGCTTCAAACAAGCAAGTTATTGCCACTGTGAGCATTGCTAGAGTGGGAGTGGAGAAGAGATAATCATCTGCATGTTCTTACCACATGGGAAAATTAAATCAGCATAACAAGAGCTGTCTGCATTGGTAGTTTGCCAGTTCAGGACTGCTCAGCTCTTCTGTTGCTGGGGCCTTTCCCACAGTGCAGTCCAGCCTCAGCTCAGGGAGCAGTGCAAGTGCCCTCTGCCATCCAGGAAGGGAATGGAGTTCCAGGAAGGGAAGGAGGGTAACTGGTGCAGGAATGAGGTGTCTGCTAGGCCTTCACTGCTGTTCAGTTCTCAGCACCAGCCCCATTGCCCAAGATTTCTGGCAGATTTCCCCCAAGAATCTGTTGCAGACAGGCACAGATTGGAGTTCTAACTGCCCATGGACCTTAAAGATATAATTTGGGAGAAACTTCATTTAATCTCCTCAGTTAATTCATGCATCATACAAAATTTTCTGATTTCTGATCTGTCTTGAATCTCCTTTGCTCTTAGGCAGAAAATGAGGAGACGAAAGAACGTTTGTTTGAGTCTTTACTCAGTGAGTGCAGAGATGCCATTCAGGCTGTTCGGGAGGAATTGAAGCCAGACCAGGTAAGCAGCAAACACCATTTTTTGCTTTCAATGACACCGTGTTTCCTTGGGACTGGTTTAGTGTTCAGCTTGCTGGGATTTCTTTAATAAAGAGCTGCAAAATATGAATTTATTCTCTCCAGAACTGGAGTGGGGGAATAACAGTGGAGAAGCCCTCCCTTGTTTGCCTAAAAGTCTGTTACTTCCATGGCTTACCCAAACCTTGAGTTCTGTGTTTTTCATCCCTTGGCTGCCAGTTTTAAGTGAATCATGCAGTGTTTTGTCTCCATTGCCCACAGAAGCAGCGAGAACACTCTCTGGAAAATGATTCTGGGAAGGTGTCCAACATCCAGTACTTACACAGGTAATAGGCAAACATTGCTGCCAGTGCTAGTGTGAAGAAGCCATGTTCTTATGTCAAGATTTTATTTTGTTTGGTTTTGTTTTATGGGGTTTTTGTTCTGGGCCTGTGGAATCCCAAAGGATGACTGTACAGATAAGGATCTGATTTAGGTGGCTTTGTAAACATTTTACACCAGACTCTCACGTTGACCTTTCAGATGTTTTTCTGCCACCAGTTCAGAACACAGAGTAATGTCTGATTAGCTCTGGGAGTGCTGATGGGATTTCTCTTTTTATTTGGGCAGTTATTTGACCTACATCAAGCTGTCCACGGCCATCAAGCGCAACGAGAGCATGGCCAAGTCCCTGCAGAAGGCCCTGCTGCAGCAGCAGCGCTCTGACGAGGACGGCAAGCGCTCGCCGCGGCCGCAGGACCTCATCCGCCTCTACGACATCATCCTGCAGGTAGTGCTGAGAAAACACAGCCAGCTCTGCAGCCCAGCCAGAGAACGTGGTGTGATTAGGAGAAACAGGATGTGGATGAGTAGGAAACCTGAGTGTTACAAAAGGATATTCAGAAATACAGCGCTGTATGTGAATTACCGTGAAGTCTGAAGAGTAGCTGAGTACCTTCAAGTACCTCAAAAAAGTTCAACATCTGCATGAAACACAGAAAACCTCCTTCAGTTATGAGCAGAACCTGCTGCTTGAATGGGTGTCCTTTATTGTGCACTCTGATACACTTTTAAGTCTTTCTGACTCTTGTGCAGCACCCTAAGAGCTGCCTTAGGTCTGCTGGCCAGGGAAAGTAGCAGCTAAAAATACTTGTTCTTCATAAGCAAATTCTCTGTTTCTCCCATAATTTTGCAGTTAACTGAGGAAGCCTGTGGCTGAAGCAGTTGTGAATGGGAGAGGGAAATGCCTTATGAAAGAATTAGTTCATGCGAAATCTAAGGAGTCTTTGTCCCAATTCCTGTTTGTGTCAGGAAGTCTGTCCTGAGGGCAACTTGCACAAGTTTCAATGAGAGTCCGTCAGAAGGTTAGAAAACTGATGATTAGAAAACTGGAAACTATTTCCCTGGGAGTGTTCTGTTGACTTGTCAAAAGGGTCAGCTTTCTCTTAGACCAGCAGATTCCAGAGGAAGGCAATGCCTGCATTTGTTATTCTGACTCTCTCTTGCACAGAACCTTGTGGAATTGACACAACTTCCTGGCCTAGAAGAGGACAAGAACTTCCAAAAGGAGATTGGATTGAAGACACTCGTGTACAAAGCTTACAGGTGACTGAGAAACAGCCAGGTTTTCTTTAGCACGTGTGACACCTTCAGAAATTTAATTCCACAGCTCTGTGTGCTGTGCAGGCTTTGATGCAGTTTCCTCTGTCCTTTGAGATTGGTTCCTAAAGGGAGACTGCCCACTGCTACTTAAGGATATCTCCTAATGTCACACATTTCAGTTGGCAAAAGGTGTGGATAACAAACACGTCAGGAATGCTCTCTTGACTGTTGCAGGTGTTTCTTCATTGCCCAGTCCTATGTCCTGGTAAAGAAATGGAGTGAAGCCCTTGTGCTGTACGAGAGGGTGCTGAAGTACGCCCGCGAGGTTCAGTCGGGAGCTGGAGCTCACAGGAACAGCTTGAAGGTAGGAGCCCAGTCCTGAAGCTGAAGTTTTATGAAGCAGCTCTGTCCCACCATTTATTGTTAAATTAGGTGCCAGGCCGTTATAATTCAAGACTGATCTTTAAGTAGGGAGAAGAGTAATGTTCATTATAGCAGAGACTTTCTAGTGACATGGGAACACTTCAGCTGGCCGCTTGCTTGGAGGAGGGACAGACTTGCACCAACTCCAGAACAATTTACCACTTTTTCTCACCTGTGTATTTTCTCTTATACGGCTTCTGTAGTGCCTGAAGCACAGTGCTATAGCTTTTCCCCTTCTGGGAAAGCTTATCAACACTAGGAGTTAATTTCTTAGTTCTTACTCTGGTTTTACTTTTGCTCTCTTAGACTGGCACATTTCAGGCTCTCAAATAATTTTCTTTAATTAGGAGCTGCCTGATGTTCAGGATCTCATCACTCAAGTCAATGCAGAGAAGTATTCCTTGCAAGCAGCAGCTATTTTAGGTGAGTAACACAGCTATTCTAGAACTCTGCTCTAATGTATCTTGACTAAAGCCCCTGCAGCTATTTCATTCCTTCTATTTCATTTCTGAAGTTCCAAAGGTTTTTCCATCTCCATTCACTCAGGCTTTGGAAAAGTACTTTTCCCCAGTTCTAGCTGCTTCTAGCTGTGTGTAGTGCAGGTAGGCAGGCAGTGACTGGACACTGGCATCTTGCTCCCTGCCCAGAGATGTTAAAACCCTTCCTGGGGATGTTTTGGGAACCTGCACAGAGCAGTTCAGTGTTTCATTTTTTTTGCTGCAGACATTTTGGCCTTACTCATCCCAGTTTTGCCTGGCTGGGTGAGCTACTAAGGAGAGGGAGAGCAGTGATGTTCTGTCAGTGTCATCCTCCAGCAGAACTTTGGGGGATGGATTAACTTCATGATTTCTTGGGCTGCTGTTTTTCCTGTGCCTGCTGCTGGATATCCAGGACAAGGAGTGTGTTGCCTCCTTTACTGCCTTAATGTTGCTTTAACAGATCCCTTCCCTGGGGTGTTCTCATCATCTGTGCTGCTTTCCAAACCTTCTCGTGACAGTGTGAAGGAGAAGCTTCACTGCAGGGCTGTGTTGGCTCTAGAAATCAAGTTGATTCTGCTGAAAATATTGTCCTGTGTATCCCAGAGAGCAAGGATCATGGCTAAGCATGGAGCACAGCTGCTTCCTGAGACAATCTTACTCTACACCAAGGTCAAGCCTGTTATTCTTACCCCTTTTGTTCAATTTTGCAGATGCAAATGATCCTCATGAGACTGAGTCTCCATCTCAGGTCAGGGATGGCAAGGTAAGAACCAAGAGCTCAAGCAAATTCCAGCTGTGCTTTTAATGACCATCATCTTTATCCTCTTACCTGAGTGTCTCTACAACATGAGAAATGTCACATTGATCAAGATTTGGTCATGACTGGTGTATTTAGGAGATTTTATTAGGCTTGGTGCTGAGGACACAGTGGGGTAGGACCTTGGAGGCAGCTTGCAGCTTCCAGTGTGGCAGCTTGCTTTGTTTAGCTTTCTCTCTGCACATAGGAGGGTTTTCCAGAGGTCCTGCAGCTGTGCTTTGACAGGAGGTTAAATCATTTTCAGAGTCCCCAGATGCCTCACAAGGGAGCTTGAACTTCTCTTGTCTCAGTTGCTGCTCAGTCCTGTTTGATGTTTGACCCTTTTGACGTGACTGGAATTTAATTTGTGTCCCTGCCTCGGTCTCTTGCAGCCACTCTCAGAACGGTTTGAGACTTTCTGCCTGGATCCTTCCCTGGTCAGCAAGCAAGTCAGCCTCGTGCACTTCCCACCAGGATTCCAGCCCATTCCATGCAAACCCTTGTTCTTTGACCTGGCCCTTAACCATGTGGCTTTCCCACCTCTGGAGGACAAGGTGGAGCAGAAGGCCAAGAGTGGCCTCACAGGATATATAAAGGGCATTTTTGGATTCAAAAGTTAACCAGGACCCCCAGAGGAACAGAGGTTTTATTCTGTATTGAAGGAGAAGCTCCAACAGGTTCTAGGACACAAATACCTGCACCTGAAACCAACAGAGGGAAGTTTTACCATCTTCTCCCCTGTGTTCTGTGTTCGTGTCTGTGCACACACATTCTCTCCCAGTGTATTAAAGACAAACAATTACTCAGAAACAAACATACACTATAAATAGCTGAAAATAATCTGGAGCACAGAGAAATTCCTTTCTGCTTGGAGAAGTTTTGTGATCAGTGGCCTGTCCAGGGTTGGTACACATTTACCTACCATGGACCAGGGCATAGATACAAATTGATTCCTGCCTCTGCTCCATTATTTGACACTATAATTTGGGGTTTTAATCTAGAAATTGGGGTGTAATTGGGCAATAGAGGCAGAAGTAGATGCAGAACTAAACCAGCAAGGTGAGGCTCCCACACAATGGCTGTGGAACAGTAGCCAAGGGGGCAACTTCTCCTTCCCTTTCAACCCGGAAGTCTCTATTTTTTAAGAATGTAACATTCTGAAATAATGAAATATAGCCTCTTTCCTTGTCAATAAGGATGGCAAACATCAGATGTTGATGGTTACTCCTGCTGTGATGGTGAATTTGTACTCTGGGCCAATAGCACCCTTCTTTATTCATGCACATTTTGTTAAATACCTAAATACAGTATAGAACCTATTCCTGAAAGTATTTTCCTGGGAAAATAGCTTCATGGGTGGCTTTAGCAATAGCTACTTGCTCTTCTTGGGAAGTTGGGTCTCTTGGTGTTCGTTTTGTCTCAGATCTAAACCTTGCCTGAAAACAAGATGATCTTTTTCTGGAGTTCATCTGTTGCTTTGTTTCTTGTCCCTGGTCAGTAGCTACACCTGAAATGAGGGATAAGGAACAGGAGACCAGTAGGTTTGTGAGTGATAATTCATCTCTGTCATGCCAGACAGTGTTTTTTATAAAGCACCCAGGTGCCACGGGGATGGGCACTTTGAAAGTGCAGATAATTTCATAATTGTGATCACTTCAGTAGGAAAAAAAACCCCATAGCACATGGGCAGAACTGTTCCTAAATAAAGCATTTGGAAGATTCCACCAGCACTGTGTGGGTTTTCACTCAGCCTGTCCTGGCAGGTGAAGCAACAGTTTGTTCTGGTTGTCTGGAATTTGTGGTTTTTTCTCCTTTTGTAGGCATTGGAGTTAAGGTTGGAAACAGAAGGACCATTTTGAATTATTGGGTTTTTGTTGTAATGGGAATTTTTGTTCCAAGGTGCATGTCAGATGAATGGGGGAAATTAACAATTCCCATTATTTCAATATGAATGTTCACTTTGTTCCAAGTTGATCTGATTTGTGAGTTCTCAAAGTACAGAAGGACTGTGTGCTCAGAAAGAGGTGGGGGGAGGAACTTGTTGTTTGTTTTTAATTTTTGCAGCATGGAAACAAAATGGGAATTTCTGGTTGTAGCCAATTCCCTTTGCCTCTGAATCCCAGGGGCATTTTACAGAAGAAGGGGAAATGTACAGGTGAAAGAAATGTGGAAGACTTTATTCATCAGATAGCAATTTCTAGAAAACTTGGTCTTGGCTGGCAGCTTTCTCTTCCCCTTAAAGCCCATTTCCTTTTAGGCAAGGAAAGGCCCACAGTGACCAGCTCACCTGGTCACTGTGTCCTGCTGAGCTGCTCTTCTCAGCTTTTGGATCAAATCACAAAATTGTTCTCTCTTGGTTTGCACCAAACTCTTTTCCTTCCACGGATCTGTGCTCTGCCTGGATTGATTCCAGGGAAACTCCTACTGTGGCCACTTTCTAGTTACAGTTACAAAAATAAAGAGCAATTGGCTTCTTTCTGCCAAACATCTTTTGACAGGGAACTGATGAGGTGAATGCAGATAAGAAATTTGAAAACAATAAACTTTTATTCCTGACCTCTGAGGTGTGTAGTTTGTGTTAGGAACACTGTGCACTCTTTGCCTCCCAAGCACCCAGAAGATCGAGGTCACACCATCACCTGGGGCTGCTGAGCCCCTGGGGAATGGCCACTGAGCCCTGGAGGAGGCTCTTCTGCCCCAAGGCTCTGATAACACCACTCCGAGGTGACTTGGCTTGTTTTGGTGTGAGTGGAAAGTGAATCCGGTGGGGTTTGTGAGCAGTGGTGTGGCTGAAATCATGGAAGGTGCTGATGAGGCTCAGGAAAATAAACCTAAAAATGTAAATAAGGGGGGAAAATTGTTTTTGAAGTCACCTGTACAATGCAGACCAGACAAAACTGAGGCTTTTAGCCCTGCAGTGGAGCCTGGGCTGGCACAGGTGAGGTTCACAGCGCTGCAGGGGCACAGGGCAGGCAGGTGAAGTGTCTGATGTGCAGAACAAACCAATTCCCCTGGGCCTGCCCAGGTGTTGAGCCTGGAACAGCCAGGGCAAGGTTCAGAGCACCTTGTGGGGCTTGGAAACTTCCTCATTGCCCTGCTCTTTCATCGCTGTGCCTTTAAAGTGCTTGTGCTCTTTCCATGAATTAATTGGCGAGGAGGCCATGTGATTGCCCTCGAAACAGGAAACTCCAGCAGAATGGTCAAGAAGATTGCTTTCAATCAACTTTTCCTATGGAGTATCTTTGGCATTAGCACTGGAATTTTAATTACAGGCTGAGCTAGCTGTGCTTGGTGCTATTGCATCTATTAAAATAGGAATGAGATGTTCATCATGGCCCTCACTCCACCACCAGTGACAGACCTGTGTCTGAGCAATCTTTACTTTTGGTTGTGCACTCTGAGGGGTCTGGGGACACTGCATGGGTCTCATGGGGGACAGAAGTGAGGAGCATGAGGCAAACTGGGCCCTGAAAGGTGGCAGATGGGATTCTAACAGTCTGGCCTGGGAGCTCCTAAATAAGTGTCTGCCTCCTTTGAAAAAAGGGTTGGGGTATTTTAAACAAGGGATTGTGTTGCTAGAAAATTATTGCCTGATCCAAGCTGCTGCAGCTGTGGGACATCCCGGGTGGGCCCTGTCAGGAGTTCTCTGGAGCAGCAGGTTGTAGGTTTGGCTGGCAGCTTTGAGGAGTGGGAAGTCGCTGTCCAGCTGCAGTGGAACTAGAATTCATCCTTGGGAGAAGATGCATCTGCTGAGGGATTTCTGTGCTCCCCACAGCCCTTGCGAGCTGCCCTGCCAGCACAGGGGTGCAGCCGGGGTGTGACTGAGGCAAAGTTTGCTCGCTCAAGGAGTGATTCGATGTGATACTCTCTGTGGCTGCTCCTCTTCCTTCAGGGTGGGATTGCTGTTTTCAAACAAGAGCAGCTGGAGGGTTCTCCAACCCCTCTGTGAGCAGGGTGGGATCCCGGCAGGGCTGGGTGCAGAGTGATGTCCTGGGAGCTGATCCCACAGCCCAGGGATGCGGATAACGGTGGGGCCGAAGCAGGGAAGTCCTTGCTTGGGAGCATCCACCCCTGGAGTGTGTTCGCTGTGGGGATTTATTTTGTGACCAGCAGCTCAGCCTTGGAGCTGAGCCCAGGTGCAAACTCCACCTGGGAGGGAGGAGGCTGTGTCCATCTGCTGCCCCTCCTGTGGTGAAAACCTTCCCACCTCTGGCCTAAAAAGCAATAATGGCTCAGAGGGGGAGGTTTAAAACCAAAGAGTGTCATTTACATGTCTGTCGTGCTCCCAGTGCCATCCATTCAAATCCAGACCCAGCTCCGAGCGGGCTTTGGGCATTTCCAGGCACTGCCACGCTGGGATCTCCATCAAACTCCTCCACCGCTGAGCAGCCGCGGTGCTGCCGTTACTAAAGTCAGAATTCTTGCTGTGGAAATAAATGATCTGTCCCTGCCTCGCTGGGCTGTGGGACGGTGCTGGCCGTGCCCAGCACAGACACGGTGCTTTGCCCCAGGCTCACACGCTGGTTGAGGATTAGTGACTCCTGTCCCTGCCTGTGGTCAGTCCAGGGAACCATGCCGGGGCTGTGGTGCCCGAATGACTAAAGAGCACCATCAAAGCCTCTGAATTACCTTCAGTGCTCACCTTTTTCCACAGAAGGAGGAGAGCGTCTAATTTTCTCAGAGCATCAAATTAAGTGGGGAAGGTGAGGCCTGGCCGTGGAGAATTAGCTGTGGCAGACACAGTCATCCTGCTCTGGTCCCTGCCTGTGACACAGGAGCACTTGCTGCTGACTCAGGCAACAGCAGCTCACAACTGGAGCTTTGCAGGAGGTTTATGTGTGACTGGAATTTGGGGCTGTGGGCTGGAAGCTGCAGTTTGGGGTATGAGCCCCCTTGGCTCAAATGTTCTTGGCTGCTGCACCCTCTGCCCTCACAGATGGGGTGGGAGGTGTTTTGCAGGGGCTGTCACCGTTCTGTCTCCTGCTTTAGTCACCCTGGAATGGTTTATCCCCTCTCCCTGACAGCTCTGTGGTTCATCACAGCCCTTCCAGGAGCTTGGTTTGGTTTGCAGGGTGTCTGAAAGCATGATCCTGCCTAGCTGGTGCAAGCACCCTCCTCCCTAAGGGCCTCCCAGGTCTTGTTGGATGGGCTGCTCCAGCCTGGGCCCCTCTGAATGGGCTCTGCTTCAGCCAGCTCTTTGTGTGGAGGTTGTTCTCCCAAGCAGGAACATCTGTGAGCTGTTCCAAGCAATGTTTCAGTTTGCCACCACCTGCAATCCACCATCCTGCAGGTATTGTGCACATTGCAGGGCCTTTGCCTGTGTGGAGAGCAAACCTGCCCTGGTGTTTCACTTTCCATCACCCAACACGGGCTGTTGTCTGCTGCTTTATCCCAGCATTTGCAGGGGATGGTTTCTTCTCCAGGGCACTCGAGTCTGGGCAAAGCAGCTTTGAAAGAAACACCCCAAAAACTCTGATCTCCCACCCTGATTCCATGGGTTCCTTCTTCAGCTGTGCCATGTGTGTGAAGGCTGCCTCTCCAGGCAGGTGTTTAATTACCTCATTGCCTCGTTAATGATCTAGGACACATCTTTTTCAGACCCAATCACTCTGTCAGGGAGCAGCTGCCTTCAGCCCTGTCACTGGATAATAAAGCCAAATTTGCAGGCTGCATCCTGTAAGTTACAAGCAAGTTTTCCAGACAAAGTGTCCCGAGAATCTGCCATTAGTGAATTTATTTAGTGCTATTACAGCCTTGCTAATCCTCTGGGGAGAGGAAAATTAGGCTAAGGCGTTAACTGCTGCAGGGAATTGCCCTGATGTCCTGCTCCTTAGCTCTGGGGCTTGAACTCAGAAGGAGCTGCGGGATGCTGGAATGAGCTTGGAGAGGCCACGGGGTGGGAAGCAGGCAGATCCTTTTGATGTCTGAAGGGTCTGAGGATGAGTCGTCTACAACAGCCCTGGGATGGGGCTGTTAAGGAGATGGCGTGGTGGGAATGTCCCCTGTACTTAGAGAGATCCAAAGGAGCAGCACAAGGGCTGAGCAGGATAAGGGCTGCCCATTTGTGCTGTGCTGGACTGGGACACCTCTGGCTCCTGGGGAAAGGTTCCTTGGATCTGAGCTGGCTCTGCACCCAGAGCCCCCTAACCCCTGCAAACCCTGGCAGGGCACTGAGCCTGCCCCAGTCTGGGGAGCTTTTTAGTGGGTCTTAATTCCACCTGGAGGGAGGAGTCCTGAGGGTCTTAATTCCACCTGGAGGGAGGAGTCCTGGGGGTCTTAATTCCACCTGGAGGGAGGAGTCCTGAGGGTCTTAATTCCACCTGGAGGGAGGAGTCCTGAGGGTTTTAATTCCCCCTGGAGGGAGGAGTCCTGAGGGTCTTAATTCCACCTGGAGGGAGGAGTCCTGGGGGTCTTAATTCCACCTGGAGGGAGGAACCCTGAGGCCTTTGCACTTCCCCTCTGCTTATCAGTTGGCAAAGATAAGGCAAAGCAAAACAAGGTTTGAGGACCCAGTAATTTTAGACTCCAGAGCATCAAGTGTCCTATTATCCAGTGGTGAGGCAGCTTTTTCAACCAGGCTGTTCTGAGGCTCTGGAGATTCACTTTGGCTTGAGGAGTATGAAAACTGCTCCACAAGGGGAGAAAAGGGCTGGAATGGGAGGTGGTTGAACCAGTGCCATCCTTGGTGTCTGCAAGGCAAACAGAGGCTGATGAGTGTGTGCAGCCAGGCTCTGGTTCCTCCCAAGGAGGTGTGTGGGGGCCCTGGTTTCATGCTCCACTGTTCTCCGTGGCTTTGGAGACACTCAGAAGAGTTTCCCTGTGGCTGAGGTCAGCTCAAGTGTTCCAGGCTCAGTCTCCAGCTGCAAAGACCAGGTAAGCCTTGGCCTGGGCTGCCTGTACCTGCTGGTCCTGTTGCCAAACAAGCAGCACCTCCAGAGAGCAGAGCATCCCTCATGGATGCAGAGGGCTCCCTGGGGATGTGGTGGTGGGAGCTGCTGGTGAGACAGACCCTTGGATTTATTTGGTGTAAATATGGGTCATTGTGAGCAGGGGCCTTCCAGGGTCAGGAGATGCACCAACTGCTTTTCCATAGGTATTTTATAAACAGCTCCAGGCTGTTTCCAGGTGCCAAACAATTGGAGACCAAAGCCCATCCCCTCCCCTCCCCTTGCATCTGTGCTCCCTGGTTGTTCCTGTGTTTCTCCTCCTACTTCCCAATGGTTAAATTTGTTGTAAAGGTCCTTCCCTTGCTCTGCTGTGGCACCCACTACTCTGCAGAGTCATTTAGGACCTTAAAAGTGGAGTTGCCCCTGCAGTGTCTGGCCAGAGGCAGCTCTGGGTGTGTGATGACACAGGAGGTTTGTGCAGTGCTTTGAATTTGTTGCGTCACGTCCGAGGGAGAAAAGTTCAAGTATGAAGAAGTTCAAGAGCAAGGAGGTGAAACAGAAAGCAAACTGATCCAAAGGAATGGTGGCAGAGGGTGTTCAGGGGGGGAGAGGCACAGGGGAGGCAAGTCCAGGCGAATGGGCTTCACAGATAACAGGAAATCATTGATG